AAAAGGTATAGGTCTTCTGTCATCTTAGCTGAAACTCCAAGTTCTCATCCTTAGGCTTCCCTTCCTTGCTGTAATCCAATCCATTGATAAGATTTGTAGGTGAACTTAAACTCTGCATCCCTCCCTATTCTTTTCTGCTGTCTGTCATTTCTTTAGGTTCAGGACCTACACTTCATCTGACTTAGGAGACAGTACAGTGGAAAGATAGATCAGGGACTTCAGATTCCCAGACCCGGGTTTAAAAATCTGGCTTTTCTACTTGTTGGCTTGTTGCTGCCTTGATGTTTAATTGAACTTTGAGCCTTATGTTTTCTTTCTTTCATTTAATAAAGCCTGTCCTATAAGGTTATTATAAATAAACAAGACCACAAGCAAAGTTCCTTTACAGTTTATGGCTTATATTGGCACTAATCAGTTACTGCTGTTACTATCAATATATCATCATTTAATTGGTCCCCATTCCATTTTTCTTCTCTCTTTTCCGTAGCCTTTGATATGGTGTAATGTTAGGAGTTTTTCATATATATATACATATATATATGTATATATATATATGTATATATATATATGTATATATAGTATAATGACATATATTTAATTCATAACTTTTAATCTGATAAACTTCAAAAAATTGGCCTTCATCAATGTAATAAAAAATGGGTGAAGGGAGAGCAGGGAGATACAGCTCCAGTTATGTAATGAATAAGTCATGTGGGAATAAAAAGCCACCAATTAGGAATAGTCAATGATACTGTAATAGCATTTGCATGGATGAGAGATGGTAGCTAAGGTTATTTTGTGGGGTGAACACAAGGTAGCATGACATATAGACTTGCTAAATTGCTATACAAAGTTGGGAATTGAAACAAAATAAACACAGTATGTGACTTGGAAAATTTCAAATTTTAAAAATTTCCTTTATCTAACAAATTCAAATCTGTGGCCCCAACTGTAATATCAAATAAGGTCTCATGATGCCTCTACTATTCACACAACTCAATTCAAAAACCCAGGAAAAACAAAACATTTATCTCATGAACACACTCTGCCTTTCTCTCTTACATTTCTTTACTCTTTTTTTTAAATTTTTTTTAATCTTTTTTTTAAAAATTTTTTCAATCTTTTTTTTTTTTTGAGAGAGAGAGAGAGAGAGAGAGAGAGAGAGAGAGAGAGAGATGCGCGGGAAGTAGAGAGAGAGAGGGAGACACAGAATCTGAGGCTCCTTGTTCTGAGCTGTCACGCACAGAGTTTAACATGTGGCTCACAAATCAGAGCTACATATGCCCAGCTATGCCCAGCTGGAAGTCAGATGGTTAACTGGCAGAGCCACCCAGGCGCCCCCTTTACTCACCCTTTTATCTCTATATTCTTGTCAAATTTCTATGTGTTAGAATCTTAGATGAGTAAATAAATGTAAAACACTTAAAACAGTGCCTGGCACAGGGGCGCCTGCATGTCTCCGTCAGTTGGGCATCCGACTTCGGCTCAGGTCATGATCTCACAGCTTGTGAGTTCAAGCCCTGCATCAAGCTCTGTGCTGACAGCCCAGAGCCTGGACCCTGCTTCAGATTCTGTCTCCCTCTCTCTCTCTGCCCCTCCCCCACTCATGCTCTGTCTCTTTCTCTCTCCTTCAAAAATAAATAAACATTAAAAAAAATTTTTTTAAATAGTGCCTGGCACATAGTAGCTCTTCCTCAGTAAATGTTACCTATGTTTACACCACTCAATGCCTATTTAATGTAATGCGTGAAGGCAGAAGGGGAGGGATGATAAAATTATATCGAATTATTAAATATGTAAGAACGGAAATCCTATTCCTTCTAGGGATTTAAAGATAAATAAGACATAACTGTTGTCCTCAAGGATCACACTTTAGAGAGGAAACAGATAAATAAGAATGCTATATATAGACTATGTACAAAGGCATTTCAAAAGTCTTCCACAGGGCCTGACAAATGTGTCACACACAATAATTGTAATGCATAATTTAAACTGTTGGGGAAATATCTTACTTATTCTTCAGGGTCCATTTCAAATCCTTCTTCAGCCATGTAGCCTTTTTCCATCCTTCCAAACATGTGACTCTCACCCAAGCATATTGTATCTGTCTTAGAACACTGTTTATACACTTGCTTTATTCACCTTACTGAATTGTAAGCCTTCAGGCAAGAATTGTATATTGCTCATCTTTATATACTCTGAAGTGTATAGCACCATGTCCTGCACATAATAGGTGAAATAAATACTTTTAAATTGGATGGCATTACCTTCAAAGGACTGCCCAGTTATTTTACTCTATTTGACTTTTGCTGCTGTAGTGAACATTAATTGTAAAAAGAAAGTGTCTTTTCTATAGTTTATTCATTTAGTTTTTCTTTTCCATTAGCATGGAATATTCATACTGGACTATATCTATCATAACATCAATTACAAGCATTAAAATATATCATTGTTTCTACCTTTGTATATTTCTCTTAAGTCAGTACTTTATTGGATGATAACTAATTCAATTCAGAAAGTGACTCTACTTTGTTTGAATGACTGTTTATGATTTCTTAGTATTTATGGATTATGTGAATCACTCAAGTCTTAAAGAGTTATGCTACCTGACACCTGAAACTAATATAACACTTTATGTTAATTATATTTCAATGTTGTTTTTTTTTTTTAATGAGTTATGCTACCTGGATTTACTTGTGTTGTTGTTTTTTTTTTTTTTTTTTTTTTTTTTTTTTTTCTCTTCCTTGTTTCTAAATAACTGACACAATTTTTCACTTACTTTTTGTAGGTAAATGTGAATGTAAAGAACAGGTGTTAGGAAACCCCAAGGCATTCTGTGGAATGAAATATTCATATGGTGAGTTTGAAATCCTGAATGCTTCTAAGAATCTATTCAAACTAAATCCAAAGAGTTTTTTAGGAAATGGGAGGTCCAGTCTATGACATTCCCAAAATATCAAAGCATTAGTCTTAATATAATAATACCTAATAGAGATGGTGTTGAAGGTCCTAGTGAGGGCAGGAGGCTGCTAGAGCAAAGGCAAAGTCATCCTACCATGAGGAAAAGAGGCAAACAAAAAGAAGAAAACCATCACACATAACCCTTTCTTATGGATGCTTCTTGTCTTAGGAACCTAAAAAGGAAGTCCCTAGCCACTAAAATGATTCCTGTGCCAGTTTTATGTAGTATTACCAGTTTTGAGTAATAACCTGTGCCAGTTATCATGTAGTAATATGAAGCAAAAATCAGTTTAAACACTATTTCACAGTGATTAAGAGTTCGAGCTTTGGATTCAGACCTACGTGGGTTGGATTTCTGGTTTATTGGGTAACTTCACCTCTCTAGACTTCTTCATCTATAAAGTTGGATGGTGCCACCTTTCCCATAAAATGAGAGTTTTGAAAAGCACCCAGTAACTGGTAGGGAGAAGGAAGAGGATATATATTTAGGAAGCACTGAGACGAGCTGTCCACTCAAGCCTCTTCCCTGCCCTCTCTGTATATTCTAGACTCCTCTACTTTTCAAATACCAGGGAAATACAGACACAGGGAAATGTTACTGCCTATGTAAAGACTGTTCCTATCTTCAAACTCTAAATGGCTTTATGCTTACTATTAAATATACTAGATGCCTTATCTTGCCAACATATTTTTCACCAGTATCTGAGGCTTTTTATTGTTCCATAATTCATACTGCCTGAAATACACTTTACAATGAAGAGAAAATTTTAAGTCATGATCTCTGAAACCAAGTGTTTAGGTTCTTTTTTTCCTCCTAGGTTCTTGATAACATTGTATTTAATCTCATAAAAGATTTTTTTTAAGTAAATGTTAAAAATCTCATAAATCTTGGGGCGCCTGGGTGGCTCAGTTGGTTGAGCATCCAACTTCGACTCAGGTCATGATCTCACGGTTCTTGAGTTCGAGCCCCACATCGGGCTGTGTGCTGACAGCTCAGAGCCTGGAGCCTGCTTCAGATTCCGTGTCTCCCTCTGTCTCTGCCCCTCCCCCACTCATGCTTTGTCTCTCTGTCTCTCCAAAATGAATAAATGCTAAAAAAAAAAAAATCTCATAAATTTTTATCTAAAATTACATGCATATTTCCCTCCTTTCATTTGACAACTTGGCTAAATAACAGAAGAAAACTTTTGAAATGTATAGTGCCCAATAAAGAAAAATTCATTTTGAGAAAATGGTATTTACTATCAAAAGCAAAAAACAGGACAATTTAGTTCAAAGATGGTCAGTTTAGTGGAAATATCAACTAGTTTTCAATATTACATATATTTGGTAGCTCTCTGAATTTACAAACAACTGCACTGGCATCTTTTAATACAATTGTACTATTTTCTGCTTAAGAAACTTTGAACGCCCTACCTTGTTCTTTTTTTTTCTTAAGTTTATTTTTATTTACTTTGAGGCAGTGGGGGGAGAGAGAGGGGACAGAGAATTGAAAGCAGGCTCCACACTGTTAGCACGGAGCCTGATACGGGGCTCAAACTCATGAACCATGAGGTCGTGACCCGAGCCGAAGTCAAAAGTCAAAGGCTCAACTGACTGAGCCACCCAGACATCCTGAAATACCTTGTTCTTATTAACACATCTACAGACTTGGGGGGAAAAATGGTTTCCCTTCTCCATTCTATTAGTGGAAAAAAGAAACTTGATTCATTTGTTTATTCCTTAGAAAATATTTATTAAGTTATAATAATGAATAGATGAGGTCCCTGTTCTCTTTGACCATACAGTCTAGTGGAAAAATAACAGTGAACATTTACTGAGCATTAGCCATGTGTGAGGAACTAAGTACCCTTCATGTATTATCTTATCTATTTGGATTTGATACCTCTCTGACTGGTCATGCAAATTTGGGAAGTTCACTTGATTTCTTATTACTTGCTTCCTCATACATAAAACAAGATTAGATGACCTCTTAAGACCACTTAGAAGTCTAAAATTTGGTGATTCTATAAAGATATCTGATATCTGACAACAGTATTCTTAGGAAATGGAACCAGCCAGTGTAGGGTTCTCTCATTACACAGAATTTTCCATCAAGATATAGATGAGCCAGTAAGAACTCCTCTAATAGTATAGAATATACATCCAGTGTTCCTTAGATCTACTTTCTTCCTCACCCCAAGTTATTCCAACTGCTTAACCCCTAGCCACATCATTTCATAGATGAAGAGCATAGCGTAATAGAATCATGAGTTATAGAGAATATTGAAGCTCTGCCATCATATAGAAGGACAGCCATTCCAACCCCAGTTGGCTTGTATTTTACGTCTGGGAAGAAGATTAAATACTCCATTTTTATTATTTAAATATTTAATTATTTAATCTCTTTAGAATATGTAAAATATATTCTGGCAGTAACATTTTGTTTGTTTTTTGTCATAACTTTATACACAGTGAGCCGCAGAGTAAAATATAATCAGAATCTAAATAAAAACCAGGATAACAATTCTACTTCCTATACATCTTTTTTCTATTTGGATTTGATAGCTAAATGTGTTTAAGATATGTTTGCAGTAGGCAAATGGCTGATTTTCTCTTAGCATAATGATAGGAGTAACAGAAGCAGATGAAAATGTCGAAGAAAGAAGAGTATAGTTAATATCGATAAATAAGGTGAAGCCAATGCAAAAGTTAGTGAGCCTAATGATTTTTTTTTAGTTTTTTTCAAATTTCAGTATAGCTAATATACCATTTCATATTACTTTCAGGTATATACTATAGTGATTCAACAATTCTACATATTATTCACTGTTCATCAAGATGAACCTAATGATTTTAAAAGCAAATTTCCACATTTACATCATCATTAGTTAACTTTTCCATTATACTCTGAAATGCTTATTTAAGTTATTCAGAGTTCAACAGGTAACATGAAATCCTATACATTTTGACTTTTGGAATTGTGTTGTTACAGTGCTAAAAATAAAGATTTTATCAGCTCATGACAAAGGATCTCATGCTGAGGTCAATGTGAAGATTAAAAAAGTCTTAAAATCTACCAAATTGAAAATTTTACGAGGAAAACGAACATTATATCCAGAATCGTGGACTAACAGAGGCTGCACTTGTCCAATCCTCAATCCTGGTAAGCATTAGACTTTTCTAGCTTAGTAACTACTTTGTCTCTGCTGATTTGCTCCTTGTCTTATTCTCTAAACCACAACTGAAATCAACTCACCAAGAGTATGTCTCCTTTTCACCATCTGAATTCTGGGGGAAAATCCAAATGGTATTCTTTGAACTGACATCAAAAAACTGTTTCTCTTCCACATGTTCTAAAAAGTGAAACATTTTAAAATCCAGCAATATAATATTTTCTGTCCTAAAAGAGAAGTCTTAGCTTGGTTCCATGTGCCAGTAGCATAGAAAACACTTTCATAATTTAGTTACCACTAATACTTCATCTGAAAGCTAGGTCCTATTACGGTGCCCTGGGTAGAATTTTCTCCCAAAGGAAATTCAAATGCAACATTCCATCTGTGCAAATAATACTGAATTCATTTTTACGATTGCATGAGAAGCATCTGTTCCTCCTGGATAGAAAACAACTCTCAAGTTCTCATCATCTTGTTTTTCATTAAATGATCATTCTGGTTCCAAATTAGAAACAGCAGAAATGTAAAAAAAAACAAAAACAAAACACTGTAGAATCTTAGAAAAACTGGAAATTAAGGGAATATGCACCTTAAAATGTTACTACAGTGGTAGAGACAAGTGAGTAAGCATGGGATTCTTACCTTTATCCTCTACAAGTACACTTTCATACTGTGCCATAAGCTGCTTATTTCTCTGTCTCCTTCATTAAATTTGAGGATGGGATTTAGATTTTCGATCACAACATCTCTAGTACCTACCATTAGTACCTAAAAAATAACATAGTACCCAGATAGTAAGTTATCAAAACAAATATTTTAAAAAAAAATCCTCTGTATTTTCCACTTTATGTAGTTGCCATCTGTATTTTAGTGGCACTGCTAAAACAGGTGCATAATTTATGCTCTGGATCTAATTCCTTTAAAATAAAAGCCCAGGAAACCCCAGTTATGTTAATAAGAAATTACTGTAGTCTTTGGTTAATAACTTTGAGAGAAACAGATAACCGAGTGACAGAGAAAAAGAAAAAAATCAGTCAATAAAATATTACCCCCTAAACAATCTAAAATAATATAAAACTGTTGAAGTTTTGACCCGTTGACTAATCTCTTACATCCTTTTATACCCCTTTAGTATTTTATTTAAGTTATTTTAAATTTTAATAAGGAAAAGGAAAAGGGGACATTTTAAATAATAAATAAATATGTTTCCAAAGAACAAGTGAAGTAATTAGAATCTTGGATTTTGAATACAGGAAACTAAGAGTCATAAATTTAAGTTCTATTTCCTAATAATCTGTATGTAGAGGCTCTTCCTATAAGCACTTTTTACTATCTTGGCAAAAGAAAAAAAAATATGCCCAGTCTTTTAGTAAGCCACTAAAAGAAAAAAAAAGCTTTGACCATCTGAGCCACCCTCCAGGAAGTAAACTATACTTCCTAATCAGGTTTCTTCCAGAGTCAAAGAATCAACTGAGTTCATCACAATTGAAAACATAAGCGCAATTATTCAAAGAATTCTTAAAAACATGTTTACTTGCTTTGAAGAAAAGACTGGAACCTGCCAAAGCAAAACCAGACACTCTTTCATTTCACTTTGTTTTTCCATTTTTACAAGTTCAATAGCCAAGGCCAAAGAAAGCTGATAAGAAAATTTGGAAACCTTACACGCCAACTTGCTTCCTCTGCTACTTTTTTGAAAAGGAACAATCTAATTGGCATCCCTGCAAATTCATTCATTCCTACATTCATACATACATTTACTCATTCATTAATCAATTTAGGATATCAAGACTAGCAGTAAAGTATTATATTTTCTTTTTCTAAAGAAACAAAATAAATCTTGTGCCCTCAAATGTGTAGCAAAGTAGATGTCAAAAGCATAAAAATAGGAAAGCAAAATGTAAATGCTAGTAAGTGATGCAACAGATAACATTGTTTTCCATGCTAATTTTTGGCATGATACTGCTCCATAATTTATGGATTTATTCAGTATCATTTTTATTGGTTTATTTTTATACTTTAATTTTTTTCATTTTATTTATTTTATTTTTTATTTATTTATTTTTTTTTAACGTTTATTTATTTTTGAGACAGAGAGAGACAGAGCATAAACGGGGGAGGGGCAGAGAGAGAAGGGGACACAGAATCGGAAACAGGCTCCAGGCTCCGAGCCATCAGCCCAGAGCCCGACGCGGGGCTCGAACTCACGGACCGTGAGATCGTGACCCGGGCTGAAGTCGGACGCTTAACCGACTGAGCCACCCAGGCGCCCCCATTTTATTTATTTTAGAGAGAGAGAGAGCAAGCAGGGGAGAGGGGCAGAGGGAGAGAGAGAGAATCCTTAGGCTCCATGCTCAGCACAGAGCTTGATTCAGGGCTCTATCCCATGACTCTGCAATCATGACCTGAGCAGAAACCAAGGGCTGGATGCTCAACCAACGGAACCATCCAGGTGTCCCAAATTTATATTTATACTTTAAATTAATGGCAAGCTCCTATCGTATTTGTTCTGTTTATAGTTTCAAAGTAAAGTCATTTAAAATACTAGACTTAGCAATGAAGTTTCCTAAAAATTATGTATTGTGTTTTTAAATGAAGATGTTATTACTTTAGGTATGATACAAACATGATATTATATCAAGACCACTATATTTTAATTAGACTGTTAATTAAATATTGGGATTCTTTTTCATGCAAAAGCTAAGGTTACTCTTCCAAGAATTTTAATATTTTATAATCCATCTTACATTTGTGCTCTACAGTGTGTTTAAAATCTCTATCATTATTTTCTCTTTTTCTTTTCTTTTTTTTTTTTTAAACACCATCATAGCTGTTTTTAAGTTTAGTGCTGAATTCTTTTAATAATTTTTTAAATAACCCTCTTGAGGCACCTGATTGGCTGAGCTGGTGAAGCATCCAACTGTTGATTTGGGGTTGTGAGTTTGAACCCCACATTGGGTATAGAGATTACTTTTAAAAGTTTAAAAAATCTTAAGGAGCGCCTGGGTGGCTCAGTTGGTTAAGCGTCTGACTCTTGATCTTGGCTCAGGTCATGATCTTATGATTCTTGAGTTCCAGCCCCACATGGCGCTCTGTGTTGACAGCGCTGACAGCACAGAGCCTACTTAGGATTCTGTTTCTCTCTCTCTCTCTCTCTGCCCCTCCTCAGCTCACTCTCTCACTCTCTCTGTCTCAAAAATAAATAAATATTTAAAAATAAATATATAACCCTCTATAGAAGCTATACATGTACATTATAAAATTTTAGGGGAAAATTTAAAATGTCACATTTCTTACCTCCAAAGATTCTCTGTTAACAGCTTAGTGTAAATCCTTCCAGGTCTTCCTCTGTGCATGTACATATTATAATTTTTAACCAAAATAAATTCATACTATACTCTGTTTTGCAACCTACTTTATTCAGTTAGTGATCTTTGCCTTCAATTATAGTTTATTTTCATATACTATAATACTCAGACCACATGCCAATTTCCCAACTGGTCCCAAAATGTCCTTTAGGACTGATTTGTCCTTGTCAGGTTCAATCCAGGATCACACATTGTATCTGGTTTTTAAGACTCTCAAGTCTCTTTTATTCAAGTACAGTTCCTCTTTTCATTGTTGAAAAAATTATTAGTGTTGAAGAAACCAGCCCAAGTGTCCTGTAGATCGTATTACCTTCTATATTTGTCTGGTTGGTTCCTTGTGGTGTCATTTATCTTGTCCCTCTACTGCCTATGTAATCTCTAAAGAAAAGCTTGATAGATTCAAGATAAATATTTGGACTAGAATCCATTAGAGATATTGCTGTGTGTGTACTTCATGTTATTTCATATCAGAAGACATATAGTAACCGGATAACTCACCATCAGGGTTGCTCAACTTGATCCTTGGGTTAGAGTGATGACAGTCTGGTCTCTCCATTGGGCAGTTTTGTTTTCCCTTTTGAGACTAGAAAATAATGAGTGTGGTATTACTTAGTCATGATACAAACATCCAGTTTCCCAGTAACTATTGATTTAATGACATTATCATTGATTGGTAATCTTCCTGAATCAACAATTTCATTAGAGTTTGAGAAATGACGTTTTTCTAACTTCCCTCATTTATTAGTTTATGCTTCTGTAAGGGGACTGTCTCTTTGAAACTGGGCAACTATTAGGGCAGTTGGGCAACTATGGGTAACTATTAGCTTACCATTCAATATAGTTCCTATTGTAAAAGGCAGAATAAATGCTAAATTCTTTCCCCATAATTTCCAATTTTCAAAGTAAGTAATGGTTTTAATAGCTTCCTCAAAAGATGACAAATTAGGGGTGCCTGGGTCACTCGGTGGGTTAAGTAACCAACTTCAGCTCAGGTCATGATCACAGGGTTCTATGAGTTTGAGCCCTGCACGGGGCTCTCTGCTGTCAGAACAGAGCTATCTCCCTCTCTGCCCCTCTCCTGCTCATTCTCTCTCTCAAAAATAAATAAACATTAAAAAAAAAAAGGATGACAATTTAGTTTTTTCTAGATTTCTCTTTTTTGAGTATCATTTTGGAATTATGGATATTGGTTGATTCAAATAGATAGATACCAATAGGTACAAATTATTATATTCCTTGGTGCTCAGATTATCACAACTTTAAAAAGTTGTAACCCTTTCTTGATAACTCCCATGTCCTTCTGAATTGATCCCAATTAATCTTTGAAAGCTTCTGTGCCTTTTAGCACAATAGGATGTCCCATGCTAGCTTGTATCTTCCCGCCCTGGACCTGCAATAGCATTTGTCCAAGAAGCCTTGTTTTGTTTTGTTTTGGTGAGATCTGTTTAATTAGAGACTACAGTATATCTATTATAGGTGTTCACTGCTACTTGAATGCCTTTTTTTAGGTCATTTCAGTGGACAAGTGTTATATATATATATACCATATTCATATGTTTTACTTTTATTATTTTATTAATATATATTAATTTTTATATGTACATATAAAGCCATGAGTTTAAATTGGTATTTTCAGCTTAATTTTAGCATCTACTATTTTCCCTTAAGTTTTAAAGTATACGTCTCTTTATCTTGGAAAGCTGTCTTATAAACATAACTACTTATTTCTCTACCCTATAATATTAAAGAAAATTATTTCAAAATACCAATATTGATATTATTACAAACATCTCCTAAAGGAGATTAACATATTTCCTTTTTATAGTGTATAGGTAATGAGACCATCCTTTAATTTTTCTGTGTTACCCAAAATTTTTTATTTGAAGTCTGAAAAGAATTTTTAATTACAAAGTCAACACTAGGTCCAGTTAAGTCTCAAGTTTTTTTTTAATATATGACAAACAAATATCCTATATCCCAAAAACACACTGACTTTTTTTTTTTTTTTTAATCTTCATTTATTTTTGAGAGAGAGACAGCGTGTGAGCAGGGGAGGAGCAGAGAGAGAGGGAGACACAGAATCGGAAGCAGGCTCCAGGCTCTGAGCTGCCAGCACAGAGCCCGACGCGGGGCTTGAACCCACGAACCATGAGATCATGACTTGAGCCGAAATCAGACGCTTAACCGACTGAGCCACCCAGGCACCCCAACACTGACTTTCTATAGGAAATATGTGTTACTTTGTATAATTTATAACTCTCTTCCAATATGTTTTCCCAAATGGTTTTTCACTTTTATAAAATCCTCAATATACACTACCATACATAGTGAGTCTCCAAGAAATAGTAATTTATGGCAGTGTGCTAAGCACGCACAGAATCCTCACTTCTTTACCATGAAGGGTGGTACAGTATAAAGTAAAAGTTCTACAGACGGACTTGAGCTTAAGTCAGAGTGTTAACTATTTACTGGGAGACACTGAACAACTTGTGCAATCTTGCTGAGCCTCAGTCCCCTTATTTGTGAAACAAGAAGAAAAACAAGACCTAGTTCATAGGGTTATTTTCAAGATTAAATAAATAATACATGTAAACCATTTAGCACATAGTAAATGCTTATTAAGTGTTAGCTCTTACTACCTGTGACTCCCTATTTCGACTATGAATATATAAAAGCACGAACCGTGCATATAAAATTACTGAAGTCACATCTCTCTCCTTCAATAAATTATGATACTCTATAGCCCCTAACTTTGTTCTCTTTTAGGTTTGGAGTACCTTGTGGCAGGACATGAAGATGTAAGAACAGGCAAATTAGTCGTGAATATGAAAAGTTTTGTCCAGCACTGGAAGCCATCCCTTGGAAGAAAAGTGATGGATATTTTAAAAAGAGAGTGCAAGTAGCAATAAAGGTATATAGCACATAATGGCACTTCTCTATGTATGAAACACAAACTTCATGGAATGGAGACCTCAAAAATGAAACTGGAATTTTTTAAGTGCCAAAACATATAGAAATGTTCCAATGCATAGGCCTTGTCTAACCTGACTCTTTGGGAGGCCATGTTTAAATACAGTTTGTTTCATAAAGACAAATGGAAACTCCTATGCTGATACCTGGTTTCTATGGGACTGATTCTGAAATTCATAACTATTAAGAGTTTTTAACAGCAGTGTGATATTTAGCAGTAATCCATTAAGGGCAGTACATCTAACAAGGACTCCTTCCAGCTTCAGATATGTTACTTATATTTGTGCTACTTAAAGCAATTAAGGAGATTTTAAGGACTCCCCAACCCTAGTATCAAAAAAGGTTTTTCTTAAAAAAGAGCCTTCCTTTGCGTGATGTGTGTGAACTTTGGTCTGTGGGGTGTTAAATGGAACCTCTCCACATGTATATAGTATTTCCTTGTATAAAGCACTTTACTACCTACCACTTGTGTTGTGAAAGTTTGGAAACCGTTGTTGACACAAAGAAAAATAAAGGGCGTGTAAGAAAACCTACTGAAACAGAAGCACTGCCACTACATGTGGACAAAAGGAAGTTGTACGTTTTAACTCTGAACACTTGGGAAAAAAATATGTGAAGATACAACCTAAAAGAACATGTTTGCATATCAAATCTCAGCTTCAGGCTAGAGGTTAGATTCCACAGATACCAACCATGATGAAAATTTTTTTAAAAACTAAACAAGATGAGACTTTAAAACTAGAGGAAGAAGAAATCATAAGTGTAGAAATATGCTTGGATAAAGAGGAAATTGACTTTAAATTTTTAAAAGATCGTTTATTTGCAATGCACTTGTAAACACTGCAAAAATTATTATAGACACAGAATTTGTTTTATTTTTGTGTTTAGTATTTAAACCTGAATGTTGAGACAGTTTTCTCCTTATCTTTATTAACAATATATGGTCATTATATTTGCTCACTTTTTTGACACAATGTATGTGATAGTTCACCAAACTACAGTCTTCATTATTATTCATCTGTACCCATGCATAACCACAATACATACAGTTTCTTCTGTACTTGAATATACAAAACATGAACCACAGTGCCATAAGATTAACTTCACATACAGAACATACTTTTTTCCTGAGGTCCTGTGGACTTGCAAAAAAAAAAAAAAAAAAATATATATATAATATATATATTGCTCTGTTAATTTTTTTTATATTTCATATATGTAATAAAGGAATATGATCTCTTGATTTTTGTCTCATTTCCTGATCAATTCTTTCAATGATGCTAAAGATTATCTTTTCTTAATGAGGGAACACAAACCTAATTCCTTAAATTAAGAAAATCAGTGAACGCGAGGCGGGCTTCCAGTCAGTATGCTGACTCTTGATTTCAGCTCAGGCCATGACTTCACGGTTTGTGAGATCAAGCCCCATGTTGGGCTCTATGCTGACAGCACAGTGGAGCCTATTTAGGATTCTCTCTCCTCTCTCTCTGTTCCTTCCCCACTTGCACTCTCTCTCTCAAAATAAATAAATAAACTTAAAAAAAAAAAATCAAACAAGTGCCCAGTATTTTGACTCTTTTACTCTGGTGCATGGAGATAGAGTAGAAGCTACAGGTTTAGTTTCTGTCACATGAAATTTTTTTTTTTATCAGATGCAATGCATTTTTATACTATATTTACTTTTTTAAAAAGCAATGGAAGTTCATTGTTGAAAATACAGAAAATTGTATCAGGAAAAAAATCCTATGTTTAAACCATCCTGTGATGACAGCATTAGCATTTGAGTGCCTATTCTGCTAGACTGTTTTCTATGCATGTACATACCTTTTAGAGAATTGGAATTATGTTATACATACTCTCATGAAATCTGCTTTTATAACCTGTAACATGTCTCTCAGCTTCTTATCTTTTCCTATTTTATCCTGGTAGGTGGAATGCTATATAGTAGGGTATCATTTACAAACAACTTATCAAAAATGTGGGTAAGTATATCACATCAAGAAAAATATTTTAGGGTCACCTACATGGCTCAGTCAGTTGGGCAACCGATTCTTGATTTTGGTTCAGGTCATGATCTCACAGTTTGTGGTTCAAGCCCCTGAGTTAAGCTCCTAGCTAGTAATGTGGAGCTTGCTTGGGATTCTCTGTCTCCCTCATCTCTCTGCCCCTTCCCTGGTCACTTGTGAGCTTTCTGTCTCTCTCTCTCTCAAAAATAAATAAACAGGGGCACCTGGGTGGCTCAGTCGATTAAGCATCTGACTTCAGCTCAGGTCATGATCTTCACAGTTTGTGAATTCAAGCCCCACATCGGGCTCTGTGCTGACAGCTCAGAGCCTGCGGCTTGCTTCAGATTCTGTGTCTCCCTCTCTCTCTGCCCCTCCCTGCTCATGTGAGCTTTCTGTCTTTGTCTCCCAAAAATAAATAAAAACATTACCAAAAAAATTAAAAATAAATAAATAAACAACCAAACCAAACAAACAAACAGGGGCGCCTAGGTGGCTCAGTCAGTTAAGCGTCTGGCTCTTGGTTTCAGCTCAGGTCATGATCTCACAGTTCCTGGGTTGGAGCTCCCCATCGAGCTCTGTGCTGACAATGCAAAGCCTGCTTGAGATTCTCTGTCTCTCCCTCCTTCTCTGCCCCCTTCCTGATCATGCGCACGCTCTCTCTCTCTCTCTCTTTCTCTCTCAAAATAAATTAACTGTTAAAAATAAATAAATATTTTTAATTAAAAAAAAAAGAAAAATATCTTAAGTACATCAAATATAGGATTTTCCTAAGTTTCAGAATTGCCAAGTAGCCTTGTTTTCCATATCACTTTATTTAAAATAAGTATTACCTGGGGTGCCTGGGTGGCTCAGTGGGTTGGGCGTCCGACTTCGGCTCTCAGGTCATGATCTCACAGTCTGTGAGTTCGAGCCCCACATGGGGCTCTGTGCTGACAGCTCAGAGCCTGGAGCCTCCTTCGGATTCTGTGTCTCCCTCTCTCTCTGCCCCTTCCCTGCTCATGCTCTGTCTCTCTCTGTCTCAAAAATAAATAAACATTAAAAAAAATTTTTTTTTAAATAAGTATTACCTATAAAAGAGACTACAAATAATGTCTATTTTTTAAGAGTAGAAAAATGTCCATAGTATATTATTAAGCTTAAAAAAACTGCATAACAATACTTATAGTAACAGAGCCCACCCCCAAAACACATTTATATTATGTACAGTGTTTTAAAAGGCCTGAAAGATAGATTATAGCAGTATTTACCCCTGTAACAGAAAGGAGGGAGATTTTCACTTTTTATTTTGTATACATCTGTATTGCTTTATATTCTCTCATTGATCATGTACCACTTTTGTAATTTATTTGACAATTAAAATTTAATCCATTGCTTATAAAGTATGTTCAAGCAAAGTTATAACTAAAAGTTCAGTTTTAAGTAGTTCGCCAAATTATTGGGTCCTTAATGTCTTCCTATTCCTTTTTGACTAGAATCTTCTTCCTTACGTGCTCTTTCAATGCCTTTTCTGGCAACATTAAAAAAAATAGATCATTGTTATAATCGTTTCTTAATATCCTCATTCTTAGGTCACTTGCAGCCCTTCCACTGAAGTTTTCATTCCTTATGAGCATCATTTGGCTTCCAAAGTGGAAAAAAAAGAAACCCTACGTCCCCCATCCTTAAAAGTGTGAGCAAGCTGCCTCAGGACCCCACTCCCTTTCCATTATTCCATCATTCTGCCACACTTCCTATATACACTTTCTCTTCCTTGGCGTCTTTCAAAATAACCATCACAGCACCAAGTCAAACAAAACTTCCATCTATGGCTTTATATGAATGTGAACACTTCCTTCAAGAGCTACTGGGAAAGTCTCTGCCCCCAGAGCTTTACCCTGTTCCACTGGGTGTTATTAGTCAACAGATTCGTTACATAATCTCCACATACCTATCTGTATAATTTGCCTGAGGTCAACTCAGACTATGCCCTCTTATTACATCACTTTCTCCGTAGAGGAATATTGCTAATATTTAGTATTTGATGCAATGGAAATTCTCAATAATAGGATAATCTTTTAATAGTGTCCACCAAGTGAGGTCAAATCTGTGGGGATGTGACCACGAGTCCAAAAAGCAGCATCCATCTGGCTATATTAAACAGAGACCAAGGCTTGTTAGGGTTAGGGTAAACATAGTTCTTTGGGATACTTTGGGTTCTTGCGGAACAAATCCTTTTCTAAACTGATCATTTAGATCAAGACTTAACAACTCTGAAGGGTGGGAAAAAGAACCTTGAGAATTCCTTGTGCTGGCTGTCCTTTTAGCCACTCCCCTGGAATGTCTGAGAACAAGGAGTGTGAGCACTGCCTTGGTATTGAGGAGTTTTGTCAGAGGCCCCAGGACTGAATTGCTTTTGTGTTCATTGTTTCAATGATAAGCAGTCCCCTAACCTAACTTTATCAAAGAGCCAAAGTTACTCATGACTTATTTCCCACAGTTTGGAAGGAAAATATTTATGAACAACTTCAATTTTGCATGGGAGATTGATATGATAAAAATGGAATAGAAGTAAAGGGGTGTGCCTTGTATGACTGATATTATTTTTAAGTCTCTCAGAGAATGATTTGTCTGAGAATACTTTCTGAAAAACGATGCCCTTTTCCTTATTTTCCTACACTTTCACCAAAAGGATGCAAACATTTCTCTACCTTTTTGAGCATTATTGACTGTGTTTTGAGACCTGCAATATTTTAAATGACAAATTCCCAGATTTACTATTAGTTTACATATGCTGAATAACAAAAATAGCCGAATGTTATTCATGAGAAAAAAATATGCCATAGGCCAAATAGATATTTCCAGAATTGAGATGCATGTTCCATTAAGGGATGGTTTTAGTACAGAGTGAATACATGTCTAGTTTCTTAATTTGTAGTCACAGGTGGATA